ATGCAGGCAGCCTGCTGGTGGGCAGGCCTGCCACGCGGCCTTGTGTGACGGGTCTGCCTACCATGCAGGCAGCCTGCTGGCGGGCAGGCCTGCCATGCGGCCGTGTGTGGCGGGACTGCCTACCATGCAGGCAGCCTGCTGGCGGGCACGCCTGCCACGCGGCCGTGTGCGGCGAGACTGCCTACTATGCAGGCAGCCTGCTGGTGGGCAGGCCTGCCACGCGGCCTTGTGTGACGGGTCTGCCTACCACCCGGGCATCTGTGCGTGAACTTTAGTTATGGGCAAGCATAAAAAGTAGCTCATGTACGTCATCTTGGCCCTGCAGCAGGTGGAGCACAAGATCCGTAGCCTGGACGGCTACACGCGCAACATGCTGGAGGCGCTGCACACGGCGCGCAACATGCAGCACCAGGGCGGCAGCAACACGCCGTCGGGCTCCTCCATGCTCACCGAGGAGATCATCAGGCGGTCGCTGGAGAGCTACAAGCGCTCCTCCAGCCAGGAGAAGATCTGCGACGAGGGCGTGGGCATGATGCCGTCCATGGTGGAGGTGCAGTACCCCTACCAGTACGGCTACGGCGGCCACGCCGCCATGGGCACGCACTCGGGCACGCACTCCGGGACGCACTCGCACGACGAGGACGACGACGGCCCGCCGCCGGGGAGTCGGCCGATGACCATCAGAAACCTCACGGTACGTCCTGGCGTAAAGGTGAACGAGTACAAAGAGTGAGGTGGTGGTAGAACACGCTCGCCGCATCCCGTAACATTGCAGGTGCATAAATGTGTCATGACAACAATGGTCGGGATGTTTAGCGCAGAATGTGAGTTAAATGTATCGGCTTCTTCTTCTTTTCCAACTGCGTTAAGCGGTTTCGGTTTTTAAGGCGAATCCGAACAGGAAACCCGCATTCCTTTTTCATGTATTTGTTACGAGAAGAAAACTTTAAATCGTGTCTTACCACTGCTTGGTTTATTTCCTCTGCGTCTATTTCGTTGTATAGTGGATAGTGGTCAAGCATTTTGTTCTCATGACACATCTATGTACTTAGGAGAGAGTTGGGTACAGCGGGGAGTTTCGCTTCCCGGCCCCCAATCACCAGTCAGAACCATGTCAATCGAATGGACATCACTGGCATGCTGGACAGGTGGGTGTTGGGCTGCAAAAGCTCTACACATTCCTACACAGTTCAAAGAAATCTTAAATTTTCAATTCATTCTCAATTTTTTGCACTCATAAACTAGATAGAAAATTCGAATTTAGAAGGCAAAGTTTTTTGCTTTCCGTTTAATTGAGTCTCTTGAAATAGTAAGCAATTGTCCTCTTGTCTGGTTTCAGGATATCATCCGGCAAATGGATGCTGTGAGACACATTAGTCCCTCTGGTTCAGAGGATCTTCAAGAGAGAATGTATATGGAAGGCTCAGAATCAAGTCGGTAAGTGTAGTCAGACCGCTGCAAAGATTCAACGCGTCGTGTAGACGCCCATATCGAAGCATCGTTGTTGGACATCGAAAAATGACAATTGTAATTGCGCTTTCAGACGAGGGTCCCGGGGTCGCGACGACATGTCCTTCGTCTTGGGCCGGTTTAGGCCGAGTGCCAACCGCCACGGCAGCGGGGGCTCGGCGGGGTCGTCGCACTACGGCCACCCCTACCCGGGCCACACCATGCACCACCAGCTCCCTGACGAGGAGTCTATATATGAGACTGCCGACCCGGACCGAGCCGGGGCCCAAATCTGTGGCGACACTCCGGATAGCGAGAGGTGAGAAGAGTAGGGTGTTGGGCAGCACGGCGGGTCCAGGGAGGAGCTACGGGTTAGGGGGAGGGTGGGAGGCCCGTCCTGTGCGTGCTCAGACTAAGATAAGAGAAGAATGATCGAGCGAGGAAATGCCGTTTGCTGGCGCCAGTATTCGAACCTGGCACCGGGACAAGCGGGCGGTGCGATGTCGGCATGCATGCCTTTATTCGCCTGGATGCGGGTGGTTCAAATACCGGTGCCAGTCATCCCCTCCTTTGCCCCTGTCCCTTCTGGCATCACGTGACCCTACCTAGCTCCCCACCCCTGCCCCTGCCCGTGCGTGTAGATTATCTGGGTGATGTCCTCTAGTGATGACTGTGTTAAAGCTCGTCGAGCGACGGCAGCGCGGTCGCCTAGCGCTGCTCGCGCTGAGATGGTCGCGGCAAGTGCCAAGAAGGCGGCCGCCATGGACTGCCCCTTACTGCTGCACCAGTCTCCGGGCAAGGCGTCGACGGCGTCCCCGGGCGGGAGCAAACGCGAGTACTTCCCGTCGCCACCGTCGTCCTCATCCGACACGGCGGACTCGTACTGCGAGTCGGGCGCGAGGCACGCCGTCCTCGCCGCCGCCGCGCCCGCCGCGCCCGCTGCCCCCGCCCTTGCCAAAGTGCGCCACCTCAACGGCGTGAACGGCGACGGTGGCGGCAGCGGCGTCTCATCCAATGGCAGCAATCGGGACTCGGAGGACGACAGTGAGGCCGTGGTGTCGTCGTCGGCCTCTGACACGCGGCAGGCCGCCGTGCCGGCTGCTTTGCCGGCCGCCTTGCCGGCCGCCGGGCCCGCGCCTCTTGTCCAGAACCACAAAAAGCGGTACCCCGAGTACAAACATTAAAGTGCGCCCGAATGCCGCGACACTCGTGCCGCTCACCATGTTCAGTGCGAGGTTTTCTCGTACAACCCTAGCAAGACTCAAACAATTTGTGTGTAGGAAGAAAGAAGCTGTTCATATTGTTGAAGTGTTGTTTTTTTTATATTAAAAAAAATAAGTGTATGATATTAACAGAATACTTGATTGGGATAATTGTATGATAAAGAAAATTGTATTTTATGTCGATTCCCTCCGATGTTTGGTATTGGTGGCGTTATCCACATGAACCCAGCGTCTCTGCCGCTGGCTTAGGATCCTTTGATTGATCCTGCATCAGGAGCGTTAATTAATGATGTCTGGGCTCAAAGAACGCTTTATACGTTAATTTTTAAACCTCCGTCAGAAAGCCGCCAAGTATGAAGCTGTCTTATTGAGCGGAGGAGGAATACCAGGGTTGTCAGAGTGATGAGCCCATACAAGGCCACATGACGATTTTATCTGAAGTATTAGTATTGTTTAGATGACGGTGTGCAATAATGATATAAAGTTCCAGCTTTCTGTGTTTTTGAAACATGTAGTGTGAAACATCTTAAGAAAGGTGACAGGGATGAATAGCTAAAGACACATTTACCATATAAGGGTCTTTGTTTCTTATGGAATATGCGGTATAGTCCATTGCCATTTGACTGCTCAAAATCAATGTGCACCTTTCTCTTTCAAAACTCATTAATATCCAGTGCTTTAGAGTTATTCTATAAATATCAAACAAAGACCTCACCGTTATGTTGTCACACTGACTTTTCCTCTATTTGTGGACAAGAGTGAAAATGTCGAAATAATTTGATCATTCAAAGCTGGGGAGATAGGGGCACATTCATTTTCTTTCTTATGAAAACCTTTCATAGTTACATTATTGTGTTATTTTATTGGTTTCCATTCCTTTGGTGGTAAATTACGTACGGTATCCTTCTCCCCATCAAAATAGAAAACCAGAGTTCACTTTTGAACAGTCCCAAAAATTGTACTTGTTTAGGTAAACCAAACCCATTACTGACAAAAACATTTATGAAAATTTTTGCAACAATATTTAACAATGTCTTGAACCATGTTTTGAACTTGCTTGCTCTCTTCAATGTTGTTTCTGTGTGACAATTTAGTCATTTCATATTCCTCCTGTTTTAAAGTTTATTTTAAAATGTTTATTTCCTATCAACAGAGAATGTGTTTAAAACCTAAACTTGCTCAAGCATTCAGCACTATTTGACAAACACTGTATGGGAGCTTCTAACTTCCTACAGATTTGTGATAGAAAAGCATCATCTATCGATAATGTTTCGTAAAATTACCTCTTATTTCACAAATTTGCATCAGTTCAAAATCTCTCTTCTTTTTATATATTAGGATATGGCTTACCGTTTTCACCATCAAATTCTTGTGTCAAATGATCATTCTGGGTTTTGCGTTTTGCTCACAATCTGTCAATGCTATCAAACATAAACTATGTGCCAATACTAAGCCCCAAAGACATCGACCAACAAGAAATGAAATGAAGAACTAAACAAAGGCTAAAATTCAACGGTGAGCTAAGTTTAGGGATTTTTCTAAAGTATATATATAAATATGGAATTATATACGTATATATATATATAAAATAAATGTAAACATAATTTTTTTATATGAAACATTTGCTCACAAGTAAGAGCCTCGCTACAGTTTGGCGAGTGTGTATATGTTTAAGTGTCTACATATGCACTTCAGCAAACCAAAATGAAACGGTGTTAAACATTTTCTTGAACAAGATGATTAGCAGAAAGGAGAAAATTAGAATATGGATGGCTACTATATTCACTTAGACCTGAATTTTTTAGATAGATCAATTAAAGCAGATTGTTTGGAAATTCAGAACTGGAAACAATGTACATTACTTGGTCAACTACAACATTCATTTCATGCATAAGTCATTGGACAAGTGCAGCATTATGGCATTTTCATGGCCTAATACAGAATATTATTTATTCTAAAGCGATTATTTAGAGTTACTAAAATATATTGTTCATTCTGTTTCCAGTAGCTCATACATAGTTGGTTTTCTGAGTTCTCAAAGCCATCAAAAATAAGGTGAGATTGAATACATTTATATTCTAAAGAAGGAGAAAGTCATTCCTTTGCTCATTTCTCAATATAAATATGCTGGACACTTTTTTCACTTAACTAAAGGCAGGGAAGTAAATATTGCTGACTGCGGGCAGTAGCGCTGGAAATATATTTTATTTTATTTCAAAAAATCATGTTTGCAATATTTTCCTAAATAGACATTAGGATACCTATCTGGGTTGAGCTGCCTTATTTGAAAAGTACGTCAACCATCCCATGCATATCCCTTGTGTTCGTACTCATAATAACACCAAATGTTCTTGTAAACAAAGACGAAAACACTGCTTGAATTTTAGCTATGCTACAAAGATCTTTAAGTAAAATAAGTGCCCAGCATTTTAGTATAGTGAGAATGACTCAAAGCAGCCACTTTCAACTTATCTTTCTACATGACAGTATGTCACTGTGATAACAAAATAGATATACTTTTGACTATTATCACAATGCTTAATTTAAAAAACCTACATTTCCTCCAAATTGTTACTGCCATCTCATGAATGAAAGTCAAGGCCAGTATAGTGTGCTGCCATTCCCTCCTTCTTCCTCTCAAGTGATGTGCTATTGCGGAGATCATTCATTTTGCGGACACTTTGCGGACAATTTTTACTGCACATTCAAAATATCAATAGAATAATTCCAAACTTTAGGGTCACATGTGGTAACGCCATTTGTATAAAAATCGTGATACGTTAAAATGTAAAGAAATGGGTTCTTTATAAGTGAATTATTTTATTTGAAACATTGTTATTAAATTTTGGTGAAATTAATTTTTTTTGTTAAACAATAAAACAAAATAAATGTGATAAAGAAAACAAAATGGTTCTCTCGGCAGATGTGTTTTTGGTGTCACCCTCTTGTCACTGGTTACGACATATCATAAACCACCAGATAACCAACATGCGAAGAAGAAACAATGCGCATATACATACTTACAAGGGGCTCGGCGGTGACTCCACATCTCAAGTTAATTGAAGAGTAAAGGCAATATTCGTATCAGACGGCATCCTGGTATCACGAATTGCAAGGTGAGAGCCGCGTATCTTGCTGTTATCCACTGGACTGCTTGTTTGCTACAGCAGGCCAATTTTGCATTGGTCAAAACAATCACTTGCTACAGCCAACTTTTTAAATATTGACAATGTACGTATTTGAGTTGAGGATACCGAGATGACTTTGCATAGGGCACGTTACGGATAGCGCCTCCCACGCGCTGGGTAGGCCAACCCGCCAAGCAGCTGTGTGGAGCCGGCGGCTCGCCCTAAGCGCCTGCCACGCGCTGGGTAGGCCAACCCGCCATGCAGCTGTGTGGA